ATAAATGTCAATCTTGGAGTATTAATGCGCAGTGAGTTAAAATTTTTCCAGAATTTAACGATAAACTTATCATTCCAAGTAGACCATTAATCATGAGACGAATCCTGACGTTCACCGGGCCGATCATACTTCTTCTTATCGAGGGGCTTCTGTTGTGTGCTTTTCTTGCCATATATGATTATGCCCCGGAGGCGGACGCAAGTAACCTAGAGAATAGCGTCGCACCTTATTTGAATGGAAAATCGGAATCTGTACCTGCCAGCTATACACGTAAGTTTTATATTGGTCTCATCATTTTCCATCATTTCCCTTTTTCTGTCATTTTTATTTTTTTTCTTGTTATTTATTTTTTTTACCTACTGTTAACTCATCTTTTTAATATATTCTGTATGTCCTTCTTCTCGTATGTCCCCGAGAAAGAAAATTTTTCAAAAATAACGAGAAATACGCATAATATCGTTGAAATCTGAGGCAACGCATAATGTTTGAAAAGTTAAGTGTAAAATTTTTGTTCTTGATTGACTATTTATCTGACCATCGGTGATTTTAATCTTTTAATGAAAGAAGATTTTTGATACTTTTTATTACTAAAATCATGAGAAAAGTGATAGCTATGTTTTGCGTCAGAAAAAAATATTGGAATGATAAAAAATAATACAGGGTGAAAAAGGAGGTGATGCCAAACAAATTTTTGTTATATTTAAATTAATAATTAATAGAGGTATAATGTTCGACCCAACTGGCCAAGTTTTATTGCTCAAAACAACGCTTATACCTCTATTAATTTTTAATTATTCACTGGCGACTCAAGCTCTCTTGTTGTGTTCTTAAATTAATACTTTGATAAATAAAAGTCCTTATGATACACACGATGCTGAAAAATGTACAAAGCAATAGCAGATGGAATGGAAATATATGAAGCAAATGTACGAAACAACATAAAACAGAACTTACAAATGTATAATTGTAAATATAACAGTTGATTTATATTTCATTTTCTATTATTTTTATTTGTATAATTAAATAAAATTCATTTTAGATTATAAAAAATGTTTACGTAAATGAAAGAAGTTATAATCTATTCGCAGTGATAATATTACATTTATTAATAACAGATTCTAACACAAAATTTAATAACACATATTTCTTTTTTAATCAGAATATCAGTTTTTTATCAAGATGTGCTGCAATCCCTGCTTTGTTGTATTGGTATATAGAACTTGCATGTTAATTGAAATATTTTATTATTATATTTATTGCTATATTAAAATTAAAAAATTATAAGATGCGTAAACACAACGCGCGCGAAATCTATGCTAAATCTATACAAATTGTAAGTTACATCTTTTACTATCCTATTATAAACTATTATTGCTGCGATTGCTAATTAATGTGTAAGTATATACGCGATTAAGGTAGATTGAGAAATGAAGAAAGGAAACTTTATGCACTAATCAACACGCGAATTTGGAGCGAATATATCGCTTTACAAAACGCTCGTTTTTTTTTGTTCTTGGATCTGGCTAAAATCATACAGTGTATCAAGATGTCCACGTGATGATTTGGATCGGTTTTGGCTTTCTGATGACGTTCCTCAAGAGGTACAGCCAGAGCGCTGTTGGCTTGACCTTCCTCATAGGCGCGATTCTCGTCCAGGTGGCTTTAATCTGCGACGGCATGTTGCACTTGAAATTAGGCAGCCCGGCCCCTCTTTCATTAGGAAGGTCAATGTTTATTCTGATTTATATTAAAGACTGAAGTAATTAGATAATATTTTAGATTAGTTTTATTTTGTGGATATAAAGAAAACGTAAACGTTTTACTTTTATACTAAAATTAAGGAAAGTAAAAAAAATGGCTTTTTTATAGAAAAGTCTAAATAAAAATATTTATTTCTTCATCATGTATTGTTACAAAACTTTTCAGTTTGCTTAGCGCCGATGTTGCTGTTGCTACACCGCTTATCTCCATGGGAGCAATTTTAGGTAAAGTGACCTATATGCAACTGGTGTTAATGGGGATAGTGGAATTAATCATGTTCACCGCTAATAAGTATGTGGGCGAGCATCTGTTCATGGTAAGTTTATGTTCTGGTTTTTGCAAGATCGCAGTCACAGAAGTTCATAAATCGCGCGATCATAAATCACACACACAATGAGCGGTAAAACAAAATATACATTTATTTATCAATTAATTAAAAGGATATTTTTATATGATAAAAAATCTACAGAAAATATATTTGTAAATATTTCTGACAATTGTCAGGAAAGAGTTATCGCAATCGATAGTATTCTCATAATAATTCATTCCAACGAATGTTCATTATATTATAAATGAAGATATTCATTAGGTATTATATAATCTATATTGTGCTGACTTATATCAATAAAAATATATAAACCTCGTTGACATTTCTTAGGTTGTTGACGCTGGTGATAGTATGTTTGTTCATGTGTTTGGTGCATATTTTGGATTGGCAATTAGTTTTGTACTCGGAATGAAGGATAAACCGGAGGAGCATGATCTGGAGGGATCGTCTTATCAGTCAGACGTTTTCGCCATGATTGGTATATGTCAAATAAGTTTTGCGTACCTATAACAATAATAGAGATTGGATACTTTATTAAATAGAATTTTTTAGAAATTTTATTAAATTTTATAAATGATAATCGCTAGAAAGGAGGTAATAAGATATATGGTTAATTGTTGCCTTCAGGTACGGTGTTCTTATGGCTATTTTGGCCGTCATTCAATAGTGCTGCGTTGACAGGAGATGATCAACAGCGTGCTATAATCAATACTCTGCTATCAATATCCGCGAGCTGCGTGATCACGTTCGCCGTGTCGGCATTGGTTTCCAAGGACAAATTCAACATGGTGCACGTACAAAACTCAACCCTAGCTGGAGGCGTAGCTATTGGCACAGCTGCAGGTTTGCAAATCGATTATTAACTCTTTAACATACAGATCTATAAATATTGTGTATATACATATACTATTTATGTGTAGGGTTTTTATATTATATAATATACAAAATCTTATAATGCACGGCATAATAAGAAAGTGATTAAATTAAGTCGTATTTAATCGCACATTTACTTTTTGTGTTAATTCAGTTAATTTTTTCATTGAGCTAATCTAATTTTTCTCAATATGTTACTTTTACTAAAACAATATAAAATCAATCAGTGTATACTGCAATTACAGTGTATTACAGTATTCGAATGTTTTCTTTCTACATAATGTATATTAGATACATAATATTACATGTAATTATCGAAATTAATATATTGCTTATTAATTTTGGTATACTTATGTTTTATGTTACATGAAAATAGAAAGACACAGACTTTTTTCATATTTTGTGTGTACTACGTTACCTGTACTACGTTACCCATGGCCATTAAAATTGAGACTAAAAGTAATATACAAGTATAATATTATTGTATTTTTGCAATATTTCATTGTTATAAATATATTGCAACGTGACTGTCATATAACACTTTTGTCCAAAAGATAGAGATATGATATTTTTTATTAGTCTCATTAAATCATCTCGTTCGTTCTCTTGTTCCGAATCAAGTGAGCCTTTCTCTAATTCGGATTTTTTCAATGCACACAGGTATGATGTGTCAACCAGTGGGTGCTTTGGCCATTGGCGCTATATCTGGTATGATTAGTGTGCTGGGATACAAATATCTTACGGTAAGATTATCATGAGATCAGATAGTTCTTTAAATACGTACTATCCTTTCCTGAAAATAAATAGTTGGAAAATCAGTAGTCTTTTTAAAGGATCGAGATGTTTTATATTTTAAAATCGTAAAATTATCTATATATATAAAGGAAGATGTCCTGACTGACTGACTGACTGACTGACTCATCAACGCCCAGCCCAAACCCCTGAACCGAATTTTTACCAAAAGTATATGAAATAGGGGTAGAATTTTCCGGGGAGTGCCACTATGTGTATAGTTTTTTGTTACCGATTTTCTGGAAACCAGTTTTTCTAATTCCTTTAATTTTTCGGGAAATAATTCACCGAATCTCAAAAAATTATAGATCAAACAGGGGTAGAATTTCCCGAGGAGTACTATGAAGTGTATAATTTTTCGTTACCGATCTTTTGGAAGCCGGTATCGAAATTTTTTTAATCTTTCGGGAATTAATTGACCGAATCTGAAAGAATTATATATGAAGTAGGGGTAAAATTTTACGGCGAGCACCATAATGTGTACAGTTTTTGTTACCGATCTTTTTGGAAACCGGTTTTTTTAATTCTTCTAATTTTTCGGGAAATAATTGATTAAATGTCAAAGAATTATACATGAAGTAGGGGTAGAATTTTCCGGGGAGTGCTATAAAGTGTACTATTTTTTATTACCGATCTTTTTGGAAACCGGTTCCGAATGACCGAATCTCAAAGAATTGTACATAAAGTAGGGGTTGAATTTCCCGGGGAGTGCTATCAAGTATATAATTTTTTGTTACCGATCTTTTTGGAAAGCGGTATCAGAAATTTGACGAATTTTTCGGGAAATAATTAATCGAATTTTAAAGAATTGTATTTAGAGAAAGAGAGAGAGAGAGAGAGAGAGAGAGAGAGAGGAAGAGGGAGAGGGAGAGGGAAAGGGAGAGGGAGAGGGAGAGGGAGGGAGGGAGGGAGGGAGGGAGGGAGGGAGAGAGAGAGAG